TATGACTCTTGGAAAGATCAGATATTCTCTGTCATTAGGAGAGGCAGGCAGGAACACCATCAATGTCTTTTGGCAAAGTAATTCCTGTGGAGCTGATAAGGGTATTCATATTCTGTTTCTATGTAGCCTGTGCACTGTGTATGAGTAAAAACTTCTGTAATGAGCTCTGCTTTCATAATGAGCCCTGCACAATGACGTAAGATAGAGTGGCTTGCTACTGTAAGAAGTTACTTAGGTTATTGGTTGCTTCCTTCTTCCTTTTCCTTCAGGGTTTAATTTAGGAGTCTGAGTGATTATAGAATAGAAAAAAAAAAAAAAAAATCACCCCCCCAACCCCCGGAGCGGGCGGGGACCCACAGCACCAGCCAAGGCGGGAGTAGAAACGGGTGAGGTGGCGGGGAAACAGCCGAGGTCTCCCTCCTCATCCCACCCCATCCCTTGGGAGAGGCTGCTCTTCCTTCCCTCCCTCCCCATCCCCTCCCCCGGGGCACCCCCGCTCCTCACCGCTCCTCTCCACGCCGCTCCCCCTGGCCGGGCCAGCACCTTTATAGCCCCGCTCCCTGGGAAAGACCCCTCTTGCGCAAGAGGCCAGCGGGATCCCGGCCCCTCCCGGCCCCTTTCACCCCCTCACTTCTCCCGGGCTCCCCCCACACCCGGCGGGTACCGGCACCGCTCGCCCGCCCGCCCGGCCCCGCAGCCCCGCCGCTCGCCGCTCTCCCAACGCCGCTTTCGCTCCCCCTTTCGCATAGAAGCGGAGCTCTCAGGACTCTCATTTACCTGCACCGGGGGAGGAGACAGGTCCGATTTGCAAATCCGCAAGTTTTAGAGTGGTTCCTTGAAGATTTTTTTTTTTTGTTCTTGGTGTTTTGACCCGGGGAAGGGCAGGGAAGTCCCCTGTAAAGGCGCTGTTCCCGGGCTGGAAACCATAAATAACTTCCCAGTAATGGCATTTTTCTCTCGTTGTTGGGGGGAAAAGTTTGCCCCCAAACACAGCCCCGATGTGCCATTGCTTGCCCTGGCTGGAAGCACTGAAACCGGGGCCGGGGGGATGCTGAGAACACAAGCGACCCCCTGCCCTTCCCTGGATCTCTGCTGTGAGACCCCATCCTGCCCCCTGCACACTGGGAGGGCACAAACCCTGCTAAAACAGCCCAGATTTTTAGTGCTTAGGCAATGTGTTCTTGAAGCCAGCTCAGAGCTTCAACTTTACCCCTTTCGGCAGCACCGAGGGTGATGCTAACTCCAACTGCAGCACCAAAACACTTAGAGCTTAGAGTTACCTTGGGTGGTAGAACAACATCCAGGAGCTGAGGAGGTTGGCATTTAAATATCTCACGGGTGACACTTTGCCATAAGTCTTGGACCTCAGGGATTTTGGTGGAAGCTGAAGTTGGCTCCATGGGTACTCTGCTCAGCAGAGCCACGCAGGAGCACATTTACTGGTGCCTGCTCCCTCCACGGCTTAAATAGATCAGACTCTGTACTTTGTCCTCCTGCCCCATCCCACCGGATTCCCCCTGAAGAAAGGAAAAGCCCAGGGCACCGCTGCAAAGCACTCGATGTGCTGGGAAGGCACACGCAGCACTGGCTGTCCCTCTGCTCCGAGTCACCTGCTCTGCTCCCCTTGTACCACAAATACAGGGGGAAGGAGAAAGAGCAGAGAATTTACCTACTTTTTGGTGTAAAAGCAGAAGTGCTCCTTACCGAGCCTGTGAAGAGCACAGTGTACTCTGTACCTGAAAACCTGCCTTTTCATTTCCTGCCAGACACCATATCTCCTACCAGGAGTGGTGTCACGAGGCAGAGGGGAAGAGGGAAGCTGCAACCAATTCCAAAGAGCTAGCTGAGAAAACAGTTTAGCTTTTCTTTTTTTTTTCCTCATTTTTAAACTTTCCAATCAATGGAAGAGAAGAAAACACACCTACATACAAATCACATCCTAACACACAGGGCACCCAGCTGGGAAACTGATGGGTTAATGTCACAATTTGCCACCTTCACCTGTGAAAAGGGCCAGATAGCGTGCTGTGATCTCCACCGTGGGCTGCTGCAGGTGCCCCTCACACAAATCCCACCAGTTCCTGGGTCACAAGCTCCTCGTGGCCTCTCATCCCGTGGCTCCCGGGACCCCCAGTCACCTCCTTGCCCCAGGCAGGGCTCTCTGATCCCTGGCTCGGCACGTGGAGCAGCAGGCTCACAACTAGGAACACAACCACTTGCTGGTTTTATTACCAGCAGAGCACCACCACCCGTACCATCTCCTGAGAGAAAACAGGGAAAACAACCACCAGCCAGCAAAGCCTTGCTTGCTCAGAACAAAAGCACGTAGGAGACCAGTCTGAAAACAGTGGCCAGTCATAAACACATTTGTTTAATATCCACAGCTTCTCAAATGTCACCATGTGGGGACACTGAAGGGTCTAAAATATCTTCCCATAAGTAATTTTCTCTGGAACTGCCACTTATAGCCTGGCTGCTCTTGGGTCAAGCTTTGGCATCTGCTGTGAAGGCCTCTGATGGGAGAGGACACCAGTCACCATCTCTGAAAACAGCAGCACTCGGTATCTCGCCTGCCTTGGGGCTCTGAACAAATTTCCCCCCATTGTTTGAGCTGCAGGAAAGAAATTCCACTCAGGAATACAGCTGCCCAGAAGGAATAAGCCAGCACATCATCCTCTAAATAGGCAGCTGCTATAATCTGTATTTTTCTCAGGCATCACCCATTCCTCTGTGTCCCCCCTGGTAGCTCAGGCCACCGAGCAGTTCTGAGCACCAAGCACCAGATAGAGAACGACACAAAAATATAGTTTGCAAAATTTTGTGCTCTGTTTTGCGTTGGGAGGCCCAACACCATAGCGAGTGGCTTTCCTTACATTTTTGAAGAGTTGTTACACACATGACAGATGTAGGTCTGATCCCCAATCCCTTACAGCCTCCTTGCAACGCAGAAAGATAAGGCTAAATGGGAGATGGTGTGTTCTGTGCCCAGGGGAGGTGCACGGGCACTTGTGGTTGGGGAAGGGGGAACAGAGACCTCGTCCCCAACAGCCTCCCCAAAGGAGGAGGCAACATCTCATTCTCAAAGAGACTCCCTGAACACACATTTGTGGATACTCAAAACCACATCATGTGCTCAAAAAGCAAATGCAAAGTCTCTGTAAACGTGAAGGAGGCATAGTGAGACAGTGAGAGGACCTGGAGGATTTTCTCCTCAGGACCCAGCAGCCAAATTATTTTTCATACCACAACAGAGAATTAACATGTGGGCATTTGCCTTCTACAGCACCAGAATGAGCCCCTCACCTCCAGCTGCCAGTCACTGCATCTGCAGATGGTGAATCTCTTGAAGATCAAACCTACAAGAGCTAAACACACAGTTTACAAAGAAAACTCAACCTGGTTTTCTGCTGCCCAGAAGGAACGCTAAAACCCAATGATCAGAAGAAATCCAAAGCTCCTTCAAGTAAGATCAGTTTCTACCCATCATGGCTAAAGAAAAAGCCCTGGCTCCAGCTGGAGTCATAAGGACTCAATGTTTCAGTCCAAGAGCACTGCTGAGTAAGCGGAGGGCACGGCCTGGGCTGTGTTTAATTGCACTTTACACCAAACAGATGATGGGCTGATTTTCATAGGCCACCTAAAATGGATTTTAATTCTAGTGCTGGTTTATCTCCGTCACTTGTGGTTCCCCAAAGTAATCCCCACGATTTGCAACACCTCTTGATATAATCCCTGAGCGCAGGATTACCGGGGTTTTGCTTCGTCAGTATGCGTCATCTCCGTAATTAAGTCTATCAATCTCCCACCACTCCCCTGGGACTCCCTCTGGGACTGAGGTACGTCCTCTGGAGGATATTTCTGTTGGGTGGAACTCACCACCAGCTTGGGTAAGGCACGAAGCCCTGCTCTGCAGCTTACCCAGCTGGAGAGTTTAAGGGAGGCATTTCAGAGCAGTCACAGCAGCGCGTCTCCGTGTCAGGTAGACACAAAGCTGATCTCAGGTTTCCTACCATGGGTTTCACATATGGTTCTTGGGCTGTTATCAGCCCTCTTGCTGACACATCTGGACTTTTCCAAGAAGCTGCAACAGGTCATCTAGGCTTTTGCAAACTTGTGAGTCGGCTGAAATGATGAACAGTCATACATCCATGTTTGTAAAAAGGATTACTCAAAAGTAATCTGAACGGCTTAATTTCTCCCACGTCTCCCCCACCATTCTGCTTAGACTGAAAGAAAAAACCACCAAAGAACATCTGGTTACACCTGTTAATGGATGGATGAACCCACAAGTAGGTGGCACACCCCGAATGGCACCTCTTGGCAGTCCCTGTGCCCAACTCACCGTAAGCGCTGGGACGGAGGCGACGCGCCAGGGAACTCTAAGGATGCAGCTCCTCACCGTGCCACGGTGCAGTACCATCAACTCATTTCATTCTCAATTTAACAACAACAAAATTTGCTAGATTAATATTTAGAGAGTGAAATGCCACGTCAACGGGACAGAAAGGGCTTCCCCAGGCAACCTCCCTCTTTTAGGGAGATAGAACGAACTTGAATTAATCTTTTTCTCTCTGTTATTTCACCTGCCCAACGAAGCTCCCAGAGTGGGTTGATGGGGTCACTGCCTGATCACTGCAAAGCACCGATTTGACTCACTGCTGACATCCTGACCTGCAGATTTAGCTTAGGACAGGAATTCAGCATCATATTCTCATGGCTCTGATTTCACTTCCCCACACAGAGCATCATTTCACGCTTCCGAGGGCTCCGGGGTGCCCAGCAGCGCTGCTTTTCGAAACCGCTCTTGCAAAATCAGGTTTCTCACTAATATTTAGAGAGAAATCTGAAAAGCAAAGAAATTACTGCCTCTCTGTCACTTGCCACTTCTTCAAGCAAAGACACAGCTCACGTCTTTCCTGATAAAACAGTCGCTTTGTTAGTTTTGGTCTCTTTCCCAAGTCCATTCAGCTGTATTTGGGAAAAACAATGGGAAAATATTTTCAATGACACATCACTACAATCAGAGACAATATTCCAGGTATAGTCATAGCACTGCAAGGCAGGAGCAATAAAGAGATTACTATCTACTTCCTTCTTGATCTGTAACTCATGTGTCATTTGCTTCCCAAAATCAGCAAGGAGTGTCCATGGTAGATTTCCCTCTCCCTGAGCCCTCAGTAGTTTGGATCAGTTCCTCTAAACTCTTACAGCAACATAGATTTTTCTGAAACAATTCTTGTTTTCACTTTCTGGTCTTCGTAAATAATATTCTGTCCCTCCTTCTTGTAAATCCAACTACTTTCAAGATGACAAAAGATCTCTATCTGCAGCACGCCCCGACAGCTGGTTCCTGGAGACCCTCTTCTTCAAGGTTTCATTGGAAGCAGCCTTATTGCTGGGGCAGGGATGGGAGGAAGCAGCTCTCTAAACACATTTAGAGGGACCACACCAAGGTCATGAAAGATTCAGCGACAATGTGCAGGCCTCCAAACATTTCTTTGGAAGATGAGGGGTGGAAATACGTGCACAGAGTCTTTTGTGAGAAGTGATTCTTGAGCAACCTGCCCCGGGGAACGTGCGGTCAACAACGCAGCTCGGCCACCTGAGGCAGAGCTTGGGGAGCTGGGAATGGGGGAAGTGCCCAAGGTCTGGTCCCAGGTCAGATAACATCCCTGCTGGGCATCTGCCATAAACTAGGGAAGGATGCCCTGGAAACCCCACCATAGACACTCTCCTCAAAGATAACGGGTTGCTATTTAGAGATGGCAAGTGATCTGTGAGGGTGGAGACCTTGAGACTTACCTTCCAGTTCAGAGTTGTGGTCTCCCACAAGAGGAGCACCTTTGGGTTTACATTAAAACCCAGTAAACCCAAATGAAGGTTTGAAGGACAATACCCCATAAAAGACTCTTTGCTTATCACTGGTCAGGGTTGCAGCAGTTTACCCTTTCCCCCCCCCCCCGGGTATAAGCAACTGCTTTTTCTTTACCGCCCCTTCCCCCCCCCCCCCCTTTTTTTTTTAAATTGATAAGAATAACTTCTCAGCAAACCTCTCCAAGATAAGTCAGTAATGACAGGATCTTTAAATTCTGTTCATTATCAAAACTAAAACCAGGTGATGAGCAGACAAGCCGCAGACAAGGACGACCTCCTGCCAGCTGGATGCTCTCCCATGACCACCAGTATGAGTGTTGGCATCCATCTGCTCTGCCCCAGAGATGCTGACAGCAGGGAGACCCGCAGACCCGCTGCGGAGCAATCCCACCACACCAGAAAGCAGCAACAAAACCAAAGCAGTTCCAAATCAACTCCATCTGCAAACAGCAGATTCACTGCTGGGGACACTGGTGAAGGCACAGAACAGGAAAGCTCTTTGGCAAGACGATCTAACTGCTGAAAGGAAGGAATGTGTGAATCTCTTGAAGGCACTGAGATATTTT